TTAAAGATTCTGGAATCAGTAAGTTTGTTTTTTTTTCTAAAAATTATACCATACCTTGGATTTTCTTCCAAAGTCAAATGTTTTTCCTGAATTATTTGAAGTTGGGGCTGAGGTAAAACAGTAGCCAAAAACTTTCTGAATTGAGATGTTTTGAAATTCCAAATGTAGATTTCTAGAATGTCATTTTATAAATGGCAGTTTTTGAAAATACTTGATTAAGAACTTCATAGTCTTGTTTTTACGTGGTATTTAATGTATTTAGGATCTATCTAACAGGGGCTTTAAATAAATTTGGTCATATTTATATGTAAGCACATTTTATTGTAAATGTTTGAGTTTTGAATTTACAACAGATCTGTTTATTTTAGTATGTAATAAACAATATATTAAAGTGCCTTATTCACTTCACTACTTATTAATTAAAATTTATGATTAATAAAAAATGTGATAACAGGGTATATACCCTATTATTGTTAGTTGTTATCTACCCACATAGAAATTAAAATCTAAAAGGCAAGTATAATGGGAATTTTTTAAAAGATCATTAGTAACAGTTGCAGCAGCAGCCTCACAAACACCTGAATAATACTATAGAGTTTATGTAATGTATTCATATCATGGTATATATTGTTTCACAAATACCTCATGAATTAACAGGGAATAGATTAATCTGACCAGTTTTTAGAGATAAGGTTCTGACAGAATATATATAAAATACAGTATTCTTTTGCTACCATGTTGCTTCTGATAAACATGTACAGAAACCATACATAGGAATTGTATCTAATAAAGAGGGAATATGCTAATTTACCCTCACACTGTCGCAAAGATGGTGGCTCCCACAGCCAATAAGGAAGGGATATGCTAATTGACTGCCCTGCCCTCAAAGATGGCAGCACCCACAGCCAATAAGGAGGGGATATGTTAATTGAATGCCCCACCCTCAAAGGTGACGGTGCCCACAGCCATAAGAGGGCGGCGCTCAGTCCCCTCAGCCCTGCTGGGGTGGCAGGAGCACAGCAAGGCCGGGCCCACCTCCAGGCGGGCTTGGCCACTCCGCACACATGCCTCTGGAGTCCCCCAGTCCCCTCAGCCCCCCAGCTGCCCAGGGCCAGCCTGAGGTGCAGGCAAGCCTTGGATGGTGGCTGCCCAGCCACACAGGGCTGGCCTGAGGTGCAGGTAAGCCTCGGATGATGGCTCCCCAGCCACCCAGGGCCGCCCAAGGCTCAGGTAACCAGGTCGGCAGTGGCAGCAGCAGAGGTGTGATGAGGCATTGCTTTCCCCTGATCACCAGGTCGCTTCCCGCTCCTGAGGGCTCCCAGACTGTGAGAAGGGGCAGGCCAGGCTGAGGGACCCCTCTCCAGTGCATGAATTTTCACGTACTGGACCTCTAGTCAATTATAAAAGCACTTTGAGAAAAAAAGTTGACTCAGAGCTTGTGCCAGTGATTAACATCATGGTTCATAACAGCAAAAGAGATTAGCCTCACTTGTCTAGTCACAACATAGATGAGTGATATAATTTTGATAAGAAAAGATTCTGATTCCCATTAAAGTGTAGAGGACTAATCTTTCACTGAAGCCCTTTACTCACACTACCTCTGGATAGGCAAAAAGCTTCTTCTATTATACTCGAAGCTTAGGGTTATTACAGTGCATTAAACTGATACAATGGAAAAAGGAGAAGCTCTGAGTGAAGAGAAGATTTGGATCTTGAAAATTTACTTAGAGAAACTATCAAGAAATATCTTAACTACTATATATTCAACCTAAAACAATTCAATTTTCTCTGGGATGATGATATTTTTTCTTTTTTTTAAATTTTCTTTTATTGCTTAAAATATTACAAAGAGTAGTGCATATGTCTCCTTTTTTTCCCCCTTGACCTTCCCCC